ATTTTCAAGCACTTAATCTACAAAAAGCGTGCCAAGGTCTGGGTAAAGATGACTGGCAGAACATAAGAACCACTTTAGTGGCATTGAGAAAACAACAGTTTTCTGATTTTACTGCATATTCAGTCCTTATTTTCTCTGGGCAAGCACTATTAAAGTGACTGCAAGCATTCTGACTTCTACCTTACCTAACAGTGGTCAAACGGTAACTTTAAGTACAACAGCACAAAGCTCTTAAACTGCACAGGTCTGAATTACAGCCTTGAGAAAATTCACTGGCATACAGTGCTCTGCAAAGACGGAAGCACTGAAGTGTCTTCACTCACTTGAGATGAAAATATTTCTCATTCAAATATAAGATCATGGTGAAGTGTCTGCTTCTTCAGTTCCAAATCTCTGTTTGCCTGGGAAGAGCCTAAGCAAAGGCACCGGGCCCCAGCCAGGCTAATGGCAGCAATGACATGTTTCCAGAAGCAAAGGTATTAAGCTCCCTCTGGATATGGCCCTGTTCCTGTGTTGAGTCGATGGCAGATATTTCATTGGTGTTCAGGGCAGAAACATGAGCTATAAGTGACTCATCGTTCTGGCTGAGATACTATTCTGCCTCCAGACCTGAAAGTGAAACTCAAACCTTACATGACCTTTTTTACCCCACCTACTACTTCCTTTCTGCTTTGATACAGCTTAAAAACTGTATTTCTCCAGTTTCAATTAGTAAGACTAATGTGACCAAAGTAGCTCTAACATCCACTCTCAAAGAACGGTTTATAAATGCATCTGCGTTCAGGCTTCCTTGCTCTGACAGCCTTTAATCCCTCTGGGTGGGGCTTCATAGTCTAAAGATGAAGAGTCCTCAGTCAACTAAGAAGTTGTACAAACAGTAAGTAATGAGAACCAGATAACCATCGTGACTACAATCATACCAATAACATAATTAAGAACCTCAAGGGGCTTTTTGGTGTATTTACAGACAAGCAACTAAAGGAACACCACACAGGTCCATGGTAAATCTTACTTCTGTTACAAAAAGTATTTTCAACATGATAAGTTTCACTTCACACGTACAAAGAATTCAGCCCCACTCTTTGCATTCAATGCTTTGAGCAGGTCCTGCAGCACTTGCCCTGCCCTTTTACAGACATCTGAGCCAGACAACTGACCTCTCCTGGCTGTGCCATGTGTGAAGACCTCTTCTTTCTGCTGTCAGTTGGATGAACCATTTGCCTGCATTGCACACTGGCACGAATCCCCTTCTTCTGAAGAACCATCTACTCCCTTTACCTCTGCTTATTATCTTCCTCCTTGATTCTCCCCAATTAATAATAGAGTAGAAAACAGAGTAATTTAAAAAATCCCTGGAAATCTCTTGATCATAGGCACCTCCATCCTAGAACTCCAGATTTCAGGGCTAGAGAGAGGTCATCACTCAGTGTCTTACTGCCCCCTCAGCTTGCTTGGTTGCCGTCACATCTGGTGGCTATCAAGGGCCAGTAAGATGATCTTCACTGTCCTCCTGCATGTGTTTGTATACATTTCTCTGTGCACTATGGATTAAAAAGGCTTCGCAGTGCAGTCTCCTGCTCCGCTAGACTGCAATGACTACCCACTCACAATGGCCAAAAGCTTGTTTCTACTCCAGTTAAGGACCAAGCTTAAGAGTTTTATCAAAATAAGTTGTCAAGTGGTGCACTCATCTCTAGAGGCAAAAAGGAAACTATCTGCACAGAGAGAGTAATACATGACTCTTTCATCTCACATCACCACTGTCCGTCTCTCTTTACCACTCATCTTCAGAAACCAATATCTGTGTTCTGACACTTCAGATACACACAAGAAACCTCTTGGGGCATGAAGCCTTAATGGTAAATCACAGAAGAAGAGACAGAGACAACAGAAGACTAAAGCCCAACCAGAGTAAGCTTCATCAGTGACAAACCTGAAGATGAGTCTTGTCAGAGGACTCAACCACATAATCGTTTTGTCAGGTTGTTCACTGATAAAGAGGAGGAACTCGGCGTTCCTCAGAATATAGGCCAGACATACCATAGTCTCTACTTTCCATTTATCTGCCTGCAGATAGTTTGTTTCTTCAATTATGCATTCGAGTACACGACTCATTTTACTTTCTGCTAAGGGTTACCCAAGTGTGAAGAGTTATTCCAGGATCACTGGAAATTGCAGAACTCCTGTTCTCCAAGGTGAGAGGCCTTGGGCATCCCCTGGGAGTGCACAGACCACTACAGAGTCAGGGAACCCAGAAAGCTGCAGTACATTCCTCCTCTCCACTCCAAAACAAGTTTCCAAAATGATAAATTCAAGTGTAGGGAGAGATCTCCCGGAGCAGAAAGGGCAGCAGGCAAAGGAGCCCAAGCCTTGGGGATTGCCCAGAATTGAAACACACATTTTACTGATAGAAAAACCAAAAATCCCAATGCAAACTTGTACTCTGAAATAGGAGGGAAGTGGGAAGGCTTCAGTTTTTCTGTAATGTAACCTGGTTTTGACAATCCTTCAGAGCAACCAGACGCCTAGAACAAAAGAGGGCAAGCTGCTGCAAGTTTGGTTCCTCATCAGAGAGTGACACAGTCCTACCTGTGCTCTATACCACGCTGAGCACTGTCCTAGCATACAAGCCATTGGCAGCACTTCTGACAGAGCACAGAGAGCGTGCTACAAGGAAATCCATGCATTTTAGTCAGGAATTGGGGGCTACAACCTCAGTCCCCCCAAACTAATATAATCCCTCCTTAAGTTTTTTTTATGGAGTCTTCCAGCATGCCAATATAGCAAGATGCTAAGTGAGTCAGAGTGTTAGAAAGAAACCGAGATGCTTTGTAAATAAAAGCATTGCTGCCTAGAAAGCAGGAAAAAAGCTTTAAGTGTTGTCTTAAGAAAAACAAGAAAAACTGGGCCTAACGATCCCTGCTGTCCCTCTGTGTGCATCCCTGCCCTTGCACTGTGGAGTCAAGTCTCTTCTCGCCTGAGCTTAGGAAGGCTCCCCTTTCTCATTAACATCACTGTTATCACAAAGGCTCTGCTCTGCCCATTTTTTAAATGGTTATCTAGCCAAAATCTGCAGAGCCATGAGCTTGTACACACCCCGGAGGGCAAGTCTGGGGAGACATCCCAAGCCCTGTTTTCCTGCAGACGCCCCATGGCCAGTCACCCAGCAGTGCTGCAGGCAGCTGCTGGCCTTGGATCCAAACAGCGAAACACCTTCAGTTACCACAGTGGGAACCAAAGGTCAGTGTTAATAGCTCTAACACTGCTCCTTCCCTGGAACCTTGTAAAGCATGAAAGTTGATGAACAACCAGTAGAAGGATATTAATTAATACTGGCCTCCAAACAGCATCTGCAGCAATCAGTGCATGGCTCAGAAGGGTAGGTGCAGTCATTTAGGATGTTAAGATAAGACACCCAGCCTCTGCTACAGCCTCTGACTCAGCTGTTCAGACACACTTCTTGCAGCCACTCTGGAGGGTATTTACAAGGAATCATCACATACCATTAAGCTATCATGGAGGAACTGTGGGAAGAAGAGCCCGGCACCAACTCCTGAGACAGCACCAGTCAGCAAATTAACATGGCTTGCATCATAAAAGTATGACTACTTCAGCTGTTAGTCACGGCTGGCAAACTAGGAGACTTACAGCTATCAGCAGGTGCCTATGGCATAAAATTCAACACAAAGAAATCAGGTAACAAGAACTCCCTCAGGAGAAAGGAGCAGTAACATATCCAGGTTTGCAGGCAGAGTTTCCACCCACACAAGTCTCCTGCATTGCGAGACGTCCCAGCAGCTTTGACTGGCCTCTGTAGAAGGTCTGGCTGAAGTGAAGCAGAGTGCTAACTGAGCAAGGAAGAGTTCAGGCTAGAAACCAACAAGTTTGGCTTTAATATTCACAAAACACAAGACCATTGTGTCGAGGTTATGAGTGGACATAACTGCAGACGGCAGTGGTAAATCTTTACAGCTAATGACTTGAGTCAGCAAACAAATCAGGGCCAGCCCTGGAAAGTCTTTCAGAGGAGATACCACCAGCTGACTGGATAATAAAACCTGAGGTACGGGATACACCAGCAAAACCCAGAAATACAGGTGCTGCAGGTCCCAGACCTGAGCTCCCTCTAACACCAGGTTCTCCCCTGCTCCCAGGTGCCAGGGGGGTTATTTGCTGGGGCAAGTAATAAAAGGGCTGGGGAAGGCAGCACACAACATCCCAAATTTGGAGAGCTCCAACAGCATCTCTTACTTCAACATCAGCACTGCCCAAGCAGGGCAACGCTGCTTCTCGAGTTGAGTCAGCTCCAAGCATCGCCATGGCATTTACTCAGAGTTTGTAACTCCTGCCAAAGCTTTAAGCCAGTTCAGGTATCTTAGTATCTACTCCGCTTTTTAGCCATAAAATAAGTCTCTTGCTGTGCTGTTGCTGCTTTACCTTGAGCAGTGAAAACAAGTTTGCAAGTGCCTGCGGAAGCTCAGAAGAGCACACCGAAGACCTGTTAGTACCAGTGATGAATTTAATCTCTCCCAAAAATTTTATCTCTCTCCATCTACCATCAGTGTAACTCTCCCCATCCACAACTGGCCAAGTGTAACACAATAAAAATATGAAATGTTTTTACTGTTTTGATTTCCTAAAATAGGCTTTTGATACAAGCATTAGGACAGCTGTTGTGTCTTGTATCCTGGTTTTAAAATAGTTCCTGGCTAAAGCCAGGTGAGGCACTCAGCTCCAGGGCAACACAGCACCATTAACATTATTCTTATGTCAGATAACTGGTGATATTTGTTATTGTAGCATGACCCTTTATTTAAAAGCAGAAAATACCTTCTCCAGTACTACCCTCTTTGGAAGTAGGGGAAAGAAAACATTCTCTCTAAAAATAGAGAGCCAAGTCAAAGCCAAGGACTATAGCAGAGCAGTGAGCAAGAAAAGTGAAGCAAAGGCAGGTTTCTATGTGGGGACAATTTTTCCAGGAGAAGGAGATCTGTACATACTTTATGTAGCCACAGGGGGATGTTTTCTAAGTTGCTCTGGGATGGTTGCTTCTGCTGCACAGCTGCCCAGCAGTAGGAGTCCACGTACGCAGCTTGACGCCAGGAGAAGGAGCTGGGTGCAAAACAGCTTATCTGAGCACCTAGGAAAACAAAGAAAAAGTTATCATGTTCTTGGAAGATTAAAAAAAAAAAAAAAGAAATAAAGCTTAGGAAGGAAAGCTTACACCCAGGATTTTGTGGTATACAAAGCTACTAGGTTAAGCGATCGAACAAAACACAGCAGCTCTGTCTGGAGGAGAGTCACTGAGCTCCCACAGCACCTAAAGCGTTAAACCCCACAGGGACTCTCTGATGTCTCCTAAAGGTTGAGACAGCATACTAGAGGCACTTGTCTTTTAGGCCTATTTTCATAAGGGTTTTGGGGAATATAACCTCCAAGACCTGTCTTTCTCGCTTGCCCTTGACTCAGGTTGGCCAAAGGGGAACCACCATAAGTGTGATCAGATAGGGCCGGTTTCCCGAGGACACAGCTACCATCACGTACCATCATGCTGCTGTGTTTCCCAAACACACAACCTACAGCTTACACGTTTATTGAAACGAGACCTCGAACACCATTCCCGCAGCCCAGCAGTCCTTGCAGTGATGCAAGGGCAAGTTTGGGCCAAGGTGCTGCCGCTTCTTCTGCCTCTGAGACTGCACATGAGTTTTGAGGGGTTCACATTATACATGTAAAACCAGGGATTTCCTCCTGTAACTTCTGGCAGAATAAGAGTGTCCCCCAGACACCTCCAAAGGGCACCAGATCCCTCCTCACCAGCATAGTGACATGCAGTGCCCAGGATCAGGTGTACCACCATCATCCCCACTCACTCCCATCACTTCTCCAGCTGCTCAGGAGCCTCCAGTTAACATCAAGGCACTAACTGACAGTAAGAGCAGCTTTTTAGCCAGCCTCGGCCTTAGGGTCAAATTCTGATCTGACCAGCTACAGGCACCACGTAATTCTTCCTGCAGCATATCTCCACGAGGAAGAATGGTTATTGGATTTGGAGTATCAGTGGCTCCCCAGATGCGAGATAGTAAAACAGGATGAGGGGGTTTGATTTTCTTTCTGAAGCTTCGATAGTGAGAGCAAAAAACCCACACATTTCCATCAGGCATTCATAAAAGTTGAACCAGGATAGTCATTCCACTGAGTGATTACACAAAGTGGAGATAACTTTTCCATGAACATCCCTCTTCCAAGAGCAACCCCCAACGCTTCCTCCAACACAACCCCAATACCAAAAGACCAAGAGGCGAGAATAGTGCTACTTTTTTTTCCTTAATGTTTTCATCAGTTAGACTAATGGCATCGCTGTGTGCTCTATAGGGAAAAAATATTTTGTATAAGATCGTATCATTCGTTGTGGCTTTTTGCTGGCTTAGCTTCTAGAGAATAAGAACTTCTTTTGTAACAGGAGCCACCACATTTGCCTTGTAACATCTACAGACTTTTACAACGAAGCATAGTCAATGAGCATTACGAATACAAGTCCTTCCTTATGAGTCACTATTATAATTATTTCTAAGGCTGTAGTATCATAAGAACATGGTTTGACCTGTCACAAGCCTCCCTCATGGAAAACAAATTACTGTTTATCAGAGCAGAGCTCATGTGATTTAGCAAAGTTGGCACCAGACAAGCACTTGCACTCTCCCAAAGCTTTGGGAGTTTCTGGTTTCCAAAGACTTTCCATTAGCAGTGGAAGCTCAAGAAATAATAAGCTAAAGGAAAAAAAAAAAAAAGAAAAAATAAAAAAGGCAAAAGAAAAAAAATAGCAGGCAACTGGAGTGTCTGTGCTTGTCTGGATAGGGACTATTTATGCTCTGCTCTCATCACTTAACAAACCTCTGCTCAGTGTGAAGCAGCAAACAAGTGACACTTTCAAAGGGTGAGCAACAGTAGTGGTCAGAAAGATGCTTTGTCCTATTCATGTCTGCGAATCTCCAACAAGAAACACATTCCATGTGTTCATTCTCGTTAATGGGTGGAAAACCACAAGAGTGATGGAGTGTTTAAATTGGTGACAAAAAAGGCAGCCAGCCTCCTTCTCCAAAATTGGTGATGAAAAAGGCAGCCAGCCTCCTTCTCCAAGGAATGATGTGCACAACTTCAAACCAGAATAGCTACAGCAATGCCAGCAGTGCAGCTGAGCAGCGAACCTTGCTCGTCTGATCCCGGGGGTTTCAGCGGGGACTTTGGAAACCTTTGGCAACTTGACCTGGGAGCCAAGCAGACAGAGCTCGACATCAGGCAGAAGCTGGGGACGCTCCGGTCATTGCACTGGTTTTTAATTAACTTTTTGCAGTCCTGGTTGTAAATACTTGTTAATGTAAATTACAACTTTGCACTAACCATGGTAATGATAAGACGTAAAAAGAGAGAATGGTTTTGTGCATAACCTACACAGAACACAGATTATTAACTGCATCTGAAAATGATTACAATTTTACATCTTTTTTTCCCTCCTTCTCCCCTCCAAAGGAATAATAGCAATAAATCGATATAGATAACTTATTCTATGTTGGCCTATTCTGGAGGAAGTAAAAAACCAAAATCTGTAGTTTTTATTAGAGAACAATTTAGGCAAAGGGCCAAATGTCTTTCACAGACCCACCATGTACACACACACGCACAGGGCTGGTTCATGAAAGGCTAACAGTCCTCTGCTACCAAAGGAACAGCCTCCTGGCTTGATGACATGAAGCCATTTCCCATTCTTTGCTCCTACAAGTAATAGAAGGGGAAAAAGAAAAGCAGCAGCCAAGCCCATAACAACAACAGGGAGATAAAATACACAGAGAGAAGGATAGGAATAATAAATGACCGCATGAACTAAGCAGTTGCCACAACAGTCTTTGGCCAAGTCATCGTTACACTTGCCAATGCACTTTTTTTTTTAATCATTCCCTGGTACTGAACCAACTTTGGAGAGGGAGTGATGGGGATTTGACTTACACTTTTGCAAATGAATGAGGATGAAAAAAATGCTACTTACTATGGTTGCCCTAAAGAGAGACAACCCAAAAGAGCTGCAGAAACTTAAGGCAGCAACATGTGATAAAATGTCACTTGTACAAGTGTGTTGAGACTATCAAAAAAAAAAGCAGGAATTACTTGCAGGCATGCAACCGAGTGCAGAGTATGAGCCTGGGTCACCGCGGCTGGCGGGCAGCAAAGCTGAGCTGTCACCCCACCCAGCTGTGGCACAGGTCCATGTGTGCTCTGCCAGCAAGCCCCCAGCTACTCCCTCTGTGTCTGTACCAGGAGAACTCTTTTCTTCTGCAGCTGGCTCCTCTGCAGCTCCTGTACAGCACCGTAAAAACTGGGATGGGGCTGCCTTCAGGTGCAGGTTCTAAGCCCTGATAACACCCTGTCATCTGCTTTGCCCGTCTTGCAATTCATTTGGGAAGGATCTGTCATCAGGTGTCTCAAAAGAAGATGTTCCAAACCCAGATGGGACTTCTCAGAGCTGAGAAGCGAGCAGTGCGCCTACTCTGGCTCTTTTTGCCCAAGCGGAGGTGGAAATTTTTGCTATCACTGTTAAAGGAGCAGGATACAAGACACTTCTGCGATTCCCACCCTAATGCCCCTGCAGATGCTTTCCAAAAAAAAAAAAACTACCTACAAAAACAAACTCTCAGAATCCCAAGGAAAATCTCAGATATGAAGAGGAGTCCCTGCTCAGTACCTGACTGCTTTGCTGGGGTGCAAGGCAGGATGGGCAGAGGGCTCGGCATCCTCTGGCTGAATCCCTTACCAGAGCGAGTGCAAAGCCAACAAGATGGACTGATTTCCTCCCCAGTGGCCGAACACCCCTCTTCTGACTTGAACATCTAATTAAGAAACTACAACTAGATACAGAGTACTTCCAAGAATCAATGTTAATCATATGCTAAACTATTTTTCCTGAACCAGGATCACATGGTTGCAGTTGACAAGATTAAACCTTAAGTAATTATTTGGTTTCTAATACACTGCAATCACTGGAAAAAGATTTGCATAAGCTTGGATGGAATCCTAGCCATTAATTACTACTATAATTTTCCACAAGGCAAAATGAACTAGCCACAATACCCAAACACCTGATTTTATCTAGCAAGAATTATGCACTTTAGCAGCCACTAAAGAAAAACCCACAAATAAGAAAATCAAAGCACATGTACACAATGTACAGACTGCCAGGCACCATCCAACGCACATCCTCCACCCCAACATTAAAAAATATTTTGAAATATGAAAAATGATGTCCCAATGCATGCCAAAGAAGAAGCAACTGTACCTGTGGGTGTACACACATGCATTAAGAGCAGACCAGAAGGAATGATTTTATTAGATTTATAGATGCTTCTCGTGGACCAAAGTGGCAGGTTGTGTGAAACAGAACAGACACTGTGTGTAAGAAGGAAGTATGGAGAGACACAAATGGGTGCACCGGAGAAAAGAACCTGTTCCCTGAGGTTTACTTTGGCAATGGAGTAGTAGCAGAATGTAAAGCCCAGGTGATGCAACGTTTAAGTGGAGTGGGTGAGAGGAGACAGCAAGTATCTTTCCTTCTCCACGGGGCTGACACGTATCCCTCACAGAATTCTCAAAATCACGCCGTGGGAAAAGAGCTAGGTGTTTATCAAGCAGTGCCTTCAGAGTGATAGTTTTTTTGATTCATGGGAAAAAAACTTGTGAATGACATTCCTACCAGTGAGATTTAAGGAAAACAAAAAAAAGTTTTTCTTCACGTGAAGGAGAAACATCTCAAAACAGTGGTGATGACCATTTGGCTCCACTGCCAATATTGGTGATACCCCAAATCTCAGGCAACACCAGAGGGCCATGACGCTTTTTAAATTAATTCTGGCACCAAAAGCAGCTTGCCATCATTTCTATAGGAAATGTAAACCTGGCTCTGCAGAAGTTAAACAGGAAAAAAAATCTCCTCACCAACAGCTGAAGATGTTCACCCAAAGACAATTTAGACTTGACACTAAAGTAGATGTTTTTACACGTTTGTCCTGGCTCCCCAGGCAGACCCATTCCTGATGATGGTAACTTCTGCTATTTCCTGAGCACTCCTTGTATGCCAAAGAGCAGCACGGCGTATGCTGCTGTTCTCTGGGGTCTGCACCTCTAACGAAAGATGTTTTAAAGTCCTCAGTTTCTCTGGTGCTCCAGACCGATGCTGCTTGCATACTTGCTGACTCAGTCCTGTCATTAATGCCCCAGGTTTCAGAGCACCCAGCTGAACCAAATGCAAGATGTGCCAACGTCAACTATTAGCATACAGCCTGCTTCAGCAGCACTTGGAGATGTTTTTCAAACTCTCAGCCAGCAGCTGCCATAGTAATAGTCTTTGGCCTAATTACACCCAACTTAACTGTAGCCCCCAGCCCTTCAGGAAGTCACAAGATAGGATTATTGCCCAAAAGCCTCCCCAGCAACTTGTGAGCGTGAAAGGAGAGGGACGTCAGCAGGGAGGGCCAGTGACGGGGCAGCAGGAGAGGAAAGGAGCCTAATTCAAGAGTTAAGACTATTTTTTTATATATTTGTTGTGATTTAGTCCCACAATTGTGGTTTTTTTACCTTTACATCCATTCGATTGTCATGACTGCGAAACACAGTTAACCAGTATAGAGAGATACAGGCTCAGCTGGACATGCAGTAAGGGATGCTACACATGGGCACTGCTGCCCCTGTGGAACCCCCAGAAGCTGTTGGGATGCAGCACCCAGAGTTCCCCACTAACACCCTTCACCCTGTGTTTTTTGCAGGCCAAAGCACCTCAAATCCCCCAGACAACCAACTGGGGGGATGGGAGCT